TGTCCGTGTGTCCGTCCGCAGGAGCTGGAGGCCATCCCCATGTTCATGAAGAGCTGCCCGGCTCAGATCGACGCGGCGCGGCAGCCCGAGCTCGCCTGCCTGCAGTCCATGCTGTTCGACGAGGAGCAGAGCCCCGCAGGTGCGCACCGGGCGGGGCCGGGCTCGGGGGATCCTGTCCCAGCCTGACCCCGCCGTGTCCCCGCAGAGCTGGCCAGGATGTACAAGAACGAAGGGAACGAGTATTTCAAGGAGAAGGACTACGGGAGAGCGGTGGCCGCCTACTCGGAGGGGCTGCGGAGGAGGTGCGGGGATGCCGAGCTGGACGCGGTGCTGCTCACGAACCGGGGGGCCGCACATTTCCACCTGGGTAAGGGACCTTCCACCGCCTGGCTCCACGCTCCAGAGCTGCTTTTCCTCCCCGTTTGGGGTTTCCTTTCTGTTTGTTTTGGTTTTGTGATATGGTAGCGTAAGTAGCTTATTGATGAGAAAGAGACTCCATGGCCCCTGAAGACCTGGCTCACCTCAGCCCGTGTGTGAGTGCAGGGTTTGTGCTCTGTTCCTTCCAGCTGTTACCTGCTGCTCGAGCCTCCGGGAGAGGRCACRGMCAGTGGTTTTTATMATCRTGGAATASTTTGGGTTGGACCTTTAAAGGCCATCTGATCCAGCCCCTCTGCWRTGAGCAGTGACATCTTCAACTAGACAAGTTTGTTCAGAGCCCTGTCCAACCTGCCTTGAATATTTCCAGGGATGGGGCTCCTGCCACCTCTCTGGACAACTTCTGCCAGTGCCTCACAACTCTCATTGTAAAAAAATTYTTCCTTATATGTAGTGTAAGTTACATATGTATATGTAATTTAGTTTAAAACCATTACTCCTTGTCCTATCMCAGCARGCTCTGCTAAAAAGTTTRTTCTCRTCCTTCTTGTAGGCCCCCTTTAAGTACTGAAAGGGTGCAGTAAGGCCTCCCCTGAGCCTTTTCTTCTGCAGGCTGAACACCCCCMGTTCTCTCAAGCCTGGCTTCACAGAAGAGGTGTTCCATCCCTCTGATCATTTGTGTGGGCTCCTCTGGACTCACTCCTAACATGTTCATGTCCTTCCTGTGCTGCCATCCCAGAGCTGGATGCGTTATTTGGGTGGGATCCCCTCCCCTCCAACTGCCCACACTTCTTTAAATGCAGCCCAGGACATGGCTGGCTTTATTCTCGTGCTCCTTTTGCACAGCTCCCAGGAACATCTGTTCCATGATCTTCCCAGGCACAGGGGTGAGGCTGACAGGACAGTCCAAGTGGCCTCCTTTTCACTCTTTTTTTAAAAGATGGTTGTAATGTTTCCCATTTTGAGTTACCTAGAACTTCACCTGACTGCCATAGTTTTTCAAATATTTTGGAGAGAGTTTGGCAGCTACATCAGCCAATTCCCTCAGGACCCTGAGATGCAACTTGTCAGGTCACACGGACTTCTGTGTCTTCAAATTCCTCAAATGGTCACAAATCTGATTTTTTTCAATGAGTGGACGTGGTTTAGGTCAGGTGGTTGGTCACAGGCTGGATTTGATGATCTYGGAGGTGTWTGCCAGCCTTAMTAATTCTGTGATTCTCTACCAGCACCCTACCAACAGTGTCCATGCAGCAGGGAAAGTGTTCTGAGCCTTTCAGTGCTGCTGTGTGCTGCTCTAGAGAGCTGGTTTGCTCACACCTCTCACTGATCCCTCTCCTTTCACTTCTTGCTCTTGGTTTTCTCTTTTTTTTTTTACTCTCCCCTCACCTCTCTGGGACTGTAAAACAGTGAATTATAGGGTCTAATTAACTATTTTAACTAACAGTGCATAAACTATTTTGTCCTCTTGGTGTCTGGTTGGATTTTAAATACAAGTGGAAGGTTCTGAGCTCTTTTACTTGCTGTACAGGTAACTACCGTTCTGCTCTCAATGACGCCATCCAAGCCAAAAAGCTGAAGCCCACCCATCTCAAAGCCATCATAAGAGGTGAGAGTTAAAGCTCAAGGGACATTCTTCCCAAACACTTGGCTCTTGTTAATTTTACTGATTGTGTTATTATTGTTACAAGCCCTGAAACAGGGTGATGTTACATGTTGCTTTGTTTCCTTGCATGTTTCTGTGTATTTAATAATTATATTTATAAACTTTAAATTACTGTGAGTGGGCATCATGCTTTGTTTCTGGACAGAATTTATTTCAGGAAGGTAAAGCAGTTACTGGAAGAGATCACTTRTTTTGTTATTGCTGTTTCTCCTCAAAACAGAACTCTGCCTTTTGCTTTGCATTTTCAATCAAAATATCCTTTTGTTCTTCATCTCCTGTATCTATCAGGGGCATTGGACCTGTTTTTGTGGAGTAGAGCATAATTCTTCCTTTTTTCCACAGTACTTTTTTTGGGGGTCTGTTCTTTTTTCCCACGCCACAGAAATCCCCCTTTTCTTTTTCCTAACAAGACAAATACTGAAATGTTAATTATAATGATAAAACGTTGTTTGTAACAGAAATCCCCCTTTTCTTTTTCCTAACAAGACAAATACTGAAATGTTAATTATAATGATAAAATGTTGTTTGTAATGGGCACTTCTAGCATAATCCTGCTGATTTCTGTGACTAAATGACACAAGAACTGATGAAATATTTTAGATTTTCTTCTCAACCAGCCTGCTGGAAGTCTRTGATTAAACATGACCATGCAAGACAAAAAAGTTTAGTGAAAAAGCAGGCTCAAAAGTGTCTTTTTAATCACCGTTTTGTGTAATAGTTGTACACTGACTCCAGCACCAAAAACTGACARTATTCATCCTTCCAGGAGCTCTCTGTCACATGGAGCTAAAGAATTTCTCAGAAGCATTAGCATGGTGTGAGGAAGGCTTGCAAATAGACTCAAAGGAGAAAAAGCTCGTGGAAATGAGAGCTAAAGCTGACAAATTAAAGGTAAACATTAAGGCAGCCTGGCACCTGCAGTGCTTATCTGTTTGGGATCCTTGGTGGAAGAGGGCTCCATSCAGGTTTCTGTATGGGGTGATGTCCCCAGACCGGGCTGAGAGGTGGTTCTGTGTGCTGAGATGTGCAGGGGAAGGGGCTGGAGGGGACATTCCTGGGGATCCAGACTGATTTTTGCACCCACTGTGATGGGCACTGCCTTGCTGTGTGTGACAGTGGTGCCACCTTTTCTTACCCACAGCGGATTCAGGAGCGSGATGCGAGGAAAGCGAAGGCGATGGAGAGGAAGGAGCAGTGTCAAAAGGAAGTTTTGCTTGCAGCAATAAAGGTGAGTYGCTGAGAGGGGCTGTTTCAGTGTGGTTTGGGGGTTTTTTAAGAGCTCTCTCAAAAAAAGTTTGTTCTCATGCATTGGCTTTTGAGGGCTGGAGCTAAAAAACTGAGTTAAAACTATGATTCTYCTCATCTGCAGGGCTCTAGCCCCAGCCCCAGGTTTCTGTGTTTAGGTAATTCACCATATCTGTTTGGTTTTTGATTGTTTTTTTGTGTTTTCCACCCTCCAGGAAAGAAATATCAAGCTGGTTCTGGAGCCTTCAGATGAAGAAGAGGACGTGTCAGACGGYCTGGCTGAGATATCCTTGGATGGGTTCCACTCTAACAGTGCCACGGGGGCAAAGGTTCACTTGGATGGTGATGGCAACCTCAACTGGCCTGTCCTCTTCCTGTACCCTGAGCATGAGCAGACTGATTTCACTGTGGCTTTCCATGAGAATTCCAGGTAAATGCTCTGCCAGCAGCATTCCTGCACAGAGGAGGTGTTGGAGCAAAGGAGAACGGGCAGCAAGGGAAATTCTGTTGTGCTGGTGAAGCAATTCCAGATTTCCAGTCACACATCTGACCATGCTTTTGAGCAGGAGGCTGCACCAGACRACCTCCAACCTGARGTCCTCTCCAACCTGAATTATTCTGGTTGATTTGCACTAATTCATAGTGCAGACAAACACATTTAGCCAGGGTGACTGAAGGGGCTTGCAGTGCCAGCTCAGACCAGTAATTAATTAATTAGTGGCCAGCAATACCTGAGACCCATCCACACGGGTGGATTTGAGAGATTCATTAAGGTGCTCTTTTCAAAGCCCTCCAAATATGGTATCTCAGAAAAAAAAAAGATTAAACCTAAAGATCATAAAAAGCTTCCAAAGGGGACCTCTCATAACCAGCAGTGACCTCAGAGTTTTCCTTGAACCTTTCAGCAGATCTGACTGAAGTGCTGCAGATCTTTCAGGCTCTTAGCAAGTGACTGGCAARCTGGGAATTCCATTCTCCCTGATGTTAACCTCATTTTCTGGTCTTGCAGTGTTMAACAAACTTGGAATTYGTAACTTTTTGTTTTTTGGAAGATRTATTCCTCAKATCTATTRATAAGTTTAGGACAAAATTACAGTGCAAGCAAGTTAGTAAAGTTAGTACTTATATGGTAGCSTTCACTGTGTGTTTTTGTGACTAAAAGAACTGGAAATKGGTTTTTAGAACAAACTGGCCTCCCARCACTCCTCAAACACAAAAATAAAGAAGCCTTTGACACACAAACATATTTTCATCACTCTGTTCTGCTGGAGCATGGGACCGTGTCGAAGGAAAATCCGTTTTAGACAAAATGCAGGGTGGTTTATTTTGACATGTCTTTCAGTGTGAAAATGTAAAGTTAAAAATAATTTGTTGTTGCACTGCTCAAGTTCAAAAGCCAATAACGTGAGTTACAACAGGGCCTTGGATTCATTGGGAAAGTGATGAGTTTGATTAGTGATCTAAACTTACTTCCAAGTCTGTTGTTTAATTTGCTAATGTATTTTTGCCATCATTCAAATGTAAGTGTACAAGTTATTGAAGCTGAGCACTTTGTCTATGCTCACCAAGTGTGTTTTGGCTTTTAGGTTTATTGATCATTTAATGGTGATGTTTGCTGAGTTACCTCCGTGGGATTTAGAAAAAAAATACCTTCCCAACAATCTTGAGGTGAGAAGTTTGACTTTCCTTTGATTCCAGGGTTGTTCTGCTGTGTTTTTTTTTATTCCTGGAGTGAGAAAGGGCACGGCTTTGAGGGTGTGAAAGTGTTGGCATCTGTTTGCCATACACAGATGTAAAACAAGAGAGAGCTACCCTCACTTTTAAACTCAAACATTGTCCACGTGTGYTGACAGAATTCACTTATGAAAATGAAAGTTGTCTTCCACTTAGGTTGTGTTTGACAGAAGGTATTTATAGATACTGCTTAGATTCCATCTTTGTAACAATAATTAAGATTTAGACCATCAAACTGATAGGCTGCCTGGTTTTTTTAATTGCATCGTGGAGTTTTTTGGTACAAATAAGAAAATACTATTTTTAAATAGTTTATTTTCAGAGCTAAGTGTAGTTACTGATCACCTCAAGATAATATATCTCTATTAACACTTTAGCAAAAGTGGGTTGGAAGTTGTGGCTGTAGCAGGTTTTGAGAATTTTTCTGGAGTTGCGCAGAGAAGGATATGGATGTTTATTTTTTATTTTCCATTTCAGTGTCATCTGTGCCAGGCAGCAGCTCTGCCCTGTGCACAGTGAGCAGACAGGTCCAGAARGACAGTGACTGTGTGCTTTTCCTGGTTAAACCCTGTGTGTATTTRCAGTCTAAGGCACCACTGCTGAATTTTAATCTCTTAAATCAACTCTATTTTGTTCCAATACCTCTAAACCCACCCAGTTTATCTTCTGTATTTCACCTGTTACAAAGCAGTTCTCAGATTTGGATTGATTGTAAAGCACAGGGACAGCCACTGTGTTTTGCCTTCCTGCTGTCACTAGCAGGAGGATCTAAGCTGGTTCTTACACAGAAAACTTGTTAATTCGAACAAACCAATTTTTACATTGCTGAATTTTGCATCTGGCACAGTCAGGTCAACCCACAGAGGTTTGATGAACCCCCAGCTGATAATGGTGGGCTGTTACTGGGCTTTCAGCAGCTTGGTTTTTTCCTTCATGTACTTYAGGCATTTACTTTTATTTACATGTATTTAATAACCTCCCCATTTTTTTCCCCCAGCTCTATTTTGAAGATGCAGAAAGAGAAGAAATGTATGAGGTGAACCCAGAACATACATTGCTRCAAGTGCTGCAGCACGAAAGGTGAGGCTGTACCTGACCATGTCCAGGGGGAAAAAGGCAAAAAGCGTGAGCTTTAAGTCCAGTTTGTTTTTAAATAGTCCAATTTTTCTCTGGCTTGATAGTCCTACCTCTTGAAGGTGTAAAGCTGCATGGATTTTGTCCCTGGCTTTAGTGACTTATATATGTTTTCCCAAAAAAAATGAACTCTTTCCAGGACTGGATGGAGGGGGGAAGGGGAGCTGGGCACAGCTGAGCAGCACAGAAGGGCTATTCCAGATCCCATCTACACAGTACTACTTTAAAAAAAAATTTAAAAAAAAAAAAGGCAGCAGCCTATAAAGAGCATGTTGAAGGTTAACAATGCTCTCGCTGTTCATACTCCTGCGTGAGCAGCCCCTGGCGCAGCGTGCAGCGCTGTTCCCCTCTGAAACTGCCTTCAAAGTGTTGTGCTGTTATTGAGAGAGAAGAATTTGCTGTTTGTGAAGCCAAAAAGTCGCTTTACAGCCTGTGCTGCTGTGTTGCACCATCCTGCAGCGGGCTGGAGCTGCTGCACAGCGCGGGGAGCTCRGTCTGTCACAGCAGGAGCAGGATCTCAGTCACTCCATAAAACTCACCCATGCCCAAAAGCCCTCAGATTTCAGGCTGTAAGGGCASTTGCAAAGAACCCTGCTTCCAGAGGGGGAATAACAGCTGCCTTAATTAAAAGAAGCTGTTGGGAGACGAGCTGATCCATAGAACACTCCTCTTGGGCTGGGCTTAGCCCCAGCTCTGAGAGGCTCTGCTAATCAGCACAAAAGCTCATCACCAGCCTTTGGGAGGTCAGACTTTATGGAGCTRGGCAGAAGTCACTTGCTTTGCAGGACACTGGGCCAGCTACAAAGAAGCCAAGGACTCTTTTTAATCTTTGCAGGTATTTTGTAAAGGCCGGGACCCCGACAGTTTTGGTATTTGCCAAGCGCTCTGCTTTCTCTAAGAAATATTTCTCTGGCAAGAAGGTGCATCGACTGTAATGAGTGAGAATGAAACSAGGAATCCTGTGCAGGAGGCTGCTGTTTGCTAGCCCAGCTCCAGGCTGCAAACTTCTGCTTGAACAAAAATACTTTGCACTCTTCAGGGGAGGAAAACAATCTTGGCACACGGGGAAACTTCCAGGGAAGCAGCATAGGAGAGGGAAGGGCTAACATGAGGGGATTATTTGTTTGAAAAGAAACCCAGCTGGCTTGCAGAAGGTCTCCTCTGTGATAGGCTGCATGTGGTTTTGAAATGAACCTGAAGCAGTGCCAAACCCTGGCTGTGGTTGCAGTAACAGCAGCTGGGAATGTTCCTCCTCACCTGAGCAGGATCACAGATTTCCTGGGAGGTGGGCTGTCGTTTCTGGGGTTTGACAGCAGTGGCCKGGGGCGATGCCTGCCTGTTGCAGCRGGGTGGATGCAGCCAGGTTCCTGCCTGGGACTCAGCAGCTGCTGTTTTGTCCCTGCTTGGCTCTGCTGCAGAGCTCTTTGTCTGGAGCRGTGTTTGACTGACCCTTTTGATACTCGCTGATTGTGCCACAGAGCCCGCAATAAACGTGGCTGTTTTAACTGGGCTGACTTCTGCCTAATGAATGAGACAACGTCTTTTTCTTGCCTTGTGAAATAGGAGAGAATGGCAAACACAGTAAACCCAAACATAACCTTATCCATTACCTGAACTGATCCAGCCAACATGCAGGGGCTTCTGCGCTTCTCTATTAGCTTTTGGCTTTTAATTAGAATTAATTTGCAATCTCTCATTCCTTTCTCTTCTGCAGTCTGTCTGWGACTGCAGGAATAYGCTGCAGCTTTAGCCACAGCTAATKYACRGGGCATTAGAAAGCTGTTCAGCCATAAAACACTCCTGCTTCCATCACAGAGGCTAGCTGCAGACAGCTCTGGAGAAAACATCTCCATTTCACAATTCCTAAATTTCTGCAGCGTGCACAAACACAGCCAGAGTTATCTGCACCTGGGGATGCTGCAGTTTAATGTCCAAAGCTCAGGGTTGCAGGGGTGGGCTCTGGGTGGCCCTCAGAGGGCAGGGAGCTGGGCAGCCAGGTGGTACAGGCTCAGCCCGTTGCACACGATGCAGCAGAGGTTGCAGAGGGAGGACAGAGCGTGGTAGAGGGTGAAGCGCTGGGYCAGCTGCCGGTATCTGGGGTCGGAGGCGTAGAGCCGCCTGCTGGGCTCGCTGGCCACCCGCCCCACCTCCTGGCCCAGCCCCTGGCTGCGCTCCACGAGCTGCAGCTCGGCCACGATGGCCGAGGTGACCTCCCCGAAGCACTGCGTGTTGAGCACAGAGGTGGCGATGCAGACCAAGAAGACGATGATCTGCGGGGGAGCAAARCCTGCCGTGAGCATCTCACATGGGTGATGGGTTAAACTCTTCAAACCCCAGCCCCCATGGCTCACTGCAGTCTGGCTGCTCACAGGCTGCTTTGACCCAGAGCCCTGCGTGGAGCTCCATGGTTGGCAAAGCGGCCTCAGAGGGGCAGGGGATGGGGTTGGGGCTGTGGGTGGCTCGTGTTTGACAGGGGMAGGCTACCTGGGTGGCGTGCTCCTGGGCCAGCCGCTCGCTGGGGTGGGACATGGCAAACAGGGCCAGGTTGAGGAAGGCGCACGTGGAGCTGATGTGGAAGTAGTAGGGGAAGAGCTGGCGCTGGATGGAGCTGAAGGTGTGGCGAGGGAGGTGCCTGCTCATCACRAACCCTGCGAGGGGAGAGCGAGTCAGCCCTGGGGCAAAGCCCCCTCCCCTGAGCCTCCCCCCAGAGCCCAACCTACCAGCCACAAAGGTCACCCAGATCTGCATYCCCCACGAGGTGGAGAGGAAAAGCAGGTGCAGCAGTTTGATGGTGTTGGAGGGCTCCGTGTCACCTGCCATGGTGTCCTGGATGGGGACAGGTCCCTCCGTCCCCGAGTTCAGCACCGAGCCGTGGCTGCTGCTGTCACCTCGCTGCTCGCAGGGCAAATGCGGTTCGGGTTCACAAAGCTGCTTACTCAGGAGAAGCTTTGGAGCCGGCACAGCCCCATCCCAGCCCCACACCATGCACCGAGCAGGCTGCACACCCGCTGCTCGAGCCCCTCGTATCTCGGGGCAGGGCCCTGCGTCAGCACCTGGGAACTTTCTGCTGGCCGTGGACTTTTGGCAAAGTCCAGCCAACGCCCCGACTGACCCTGGCAGCGGGAACCAGCACAAAGTCAATAAAAAGGGGAAGAGGAAAGCCCTAACAAACACACCTGCCCACTCTGTGGYCACCTTTGACAGCTTCTGCACTGTTTAACCAAAAGCCTGGGGGCTCCAAGGAGCAGAGGGCTCACCCCGCTGCCCAGACCCCACAAAAAAGCACGGGCAGCAATGGGTGGAAGGAGGCTTTGAAGGAGCTGCCTGATCCACTGCGAGAAGCACTCTGGAAATTAATTAAAACAAAGCTTCTGGGAGTAGCCCATCAATACTGCTGCCTGCAGAATTCCTCCTCCTCCTCCTCCTCCTCCTCTCGGCTGGTCGCCTCGGGGCATGAATTACAGCGGGGCTGGCCTTGAGAGAGACACTGCTGTCTGATTCCATCCCACTCCTGCACAGCAGATAAATGCACCCTGCACTGTGATATATTAGCTCCATGAATTAATTTAGGCATCTGTAAAACC